CCATGCCAAATGAACCATGCGGCATCTATTACCTAAATAATCTGTTAACACCATAACAAGAGTTCGGTTCACCAGATAAACACTTATTAAAACGCCGTTTATATTCTAAATGTCGTGTTCGGTCTGTCAGACCTCCAAATTAAAGGTCACTGTTGAATGACTCGAATTATTCAACTGTTAATGCAATGTTCTTGTTGTTTTACTCGCCGTGTCGATCCTGAGTAACTCCGCAAATTTTTAATTTCGTTTCAAAGGTAAATCTAGTCACTGGAAGGTTCTTTCGCAAATAGAGGACAGCCGTTTGGCATTTAAATAATTAACAATCAAAAAGGAAAGGTTTAAATCAAAGGACACCACGTGTTGACTTTTGAATTTTGAAAAAAAAGGAAATTACATCACCATAATCCTACATTTAATATTAAGTAAAAATTCTTTAAACTCGAACAACGGTAGGACTTAGGCAGTCGGATAAAACCAACCACTTACGTAAAAACCTGCGTTAACATAAAAGCTTTTTAAAAGAAATCAAATTAATCTGCCATAACATCACAATCTTCGCGCAAAACCCAATACACTCCGCGGGTACTTAACATTCAAGTGATAAATAACGCCCCCAAAAATATGTAAATTTGTTTTGAAAAAGTTATGAAGCCAATCTAGAAGATCCGCGCAACGTCGCCGGATTAGTAGGGCGGGCGGAATTTAAAAAGGCTTTGTAATAAAATCGCGGGTCGCGGGTACACAATCACTCGCTCCTCATTTATCATCATCTAGGTAGACCGTGATGTTATTAAAGCAAGAACCTTTATTGTTTAATTCAATACGGGATTTTCTTTTAGTAGGTAAATCATCCCTGTAATTTATATCGCTTATTTACAAGGCTTTTGAAAGCAAACGGACAAATCAATTTAACAGAAGAATGAACACATTATGAACATTATGGAGGTAGCAGGAAGGCGCTTGATGCAGGCCTCTACCAACCGGGCGATGGAAATCATTGGGGGAGGCCTATGTTCAGCAGTGGACGTCTTATGGCTGAAATGATGATGATGATACATAGAGTAAAACCTACTCAACGGGTATAATAAACGTGAAATCTGTGAAAATAGATCTTTCTAATTAAAAACACTGTACTGATATCATTTAAACTGTAGCAAACTTCATTTACTTGCCAAAATGGCATTGTATGTATATTTAAAAAAAATATTCACATTTATTTTTAGCTTGTAACTTGAATAGGTATATAATTAATTAGGTATGCCAACTAACCCATAACGGGGGTTGAACCCAAGCCTACCAAAAGCTACTCACTCCACACCAACATATTCGAGAGCGCCCGCTAGAAAATGACCATGTAATATGTACCTATAGTCTAATGTATAATGAAAATATAATCACTATTCGTTCGTTTCGTCCACTGCTGGACAAAGGCCTCCCACAAGGCTTTCCATATTGAACGGTCCTGCGCTGCCCGCATCCAGGTTCTTCCCGCGACCTTTGCAAGATCGTCGGTACACCTAGTAGGAGGCCTGCCTACGCTACGTCTTCCAGCCCGTCCATATTACCCTGTAATCTGTAATTTGTATATTTCAACCCCTTAATGAACCTATATCCCTCATCTAGGACGACCAAAAGGAAAATTTATACCGCCTAATGCATTTTCCCCGGACTGCTAAACTGCGTAAAACTAAAATCATTAGCAAGTCTAAAGCGGGGTAATCGGATTGTTAAAACTTTAAGCGCTTGCAGCAACATTGTGAACGTTCTCTGGGTGCATTAGGGTGCAGGTAATTTTGAACTTTTAGATTTACTTACGTGTCATTAACAGGGCAACCGAGCGAGTTTTAAGGATAAAACGGATATGAAAATCGCGCAGTGGGAGGGTGAGTCAGTGACTTAGTCAGTGGGTCAGTCAGTGAGTGACAAAATTAAGTAACTTTGACCCGTTATAATTCTTAAACTACTGATTCAAATTGAATGAAATTTTAAATATACCGTGTCTTTACAATGCCTGCATAGCTAATGAAAATTCAGCCTTCTAGTTTTATCCACAACGAAGTTACAGGCGGTCGAAAATGGCCTGAATTGCTTCGAGAAAAGGATGGTACGGCCGTGCCTTCACCTGATAAACTGGAAGAAAACACACTTTGCACCGTATTTTCGTGAGGTCCTATAAATCGAAAGGTTGTCTTCAATCGTTTAAGTTGATAACTCTATAGTAATTATGTAATAATAAAGATTAGTTTACCTACAAGTAATAAAAGGGTCGCCGCGTGTTTTAATGTCTAAATTAATTAAAACTCACTATAATCAACAAGATCATTGCACAGCATGTTTTTTGATATCTTATCCTTATTCAACAACATTTTCCAGCCAATCTAAAAGGCAGGACATTATCTTCTAAGGCTGTTTTACTATATTAATTTTCTTATTATTTATTAAGAAACCGCCGACTCTTCGTAGAATTCATAACAGTGACAACTAAGTATTTATTATCTGGACGATTTCGCTAACAGCTGTCACTTCAGAAGTGTCAAAACTAATCACTCGGCGGAGTCGAGGGCCGAATCGCCGGGGCCTCTCGAAATGCCTCACAATCGAAGTTAATAGTTTAGGAACTATTTGCGGTGGCTTTATCCACAGCACAAGAGAGATAAAGCAGCTACATTTCACAAATTGTTGAAATATCAATGGTTTAACACACTTTTGGTATTGACTAGTTTAACTGACCTAACTCCTCCAATCCTTTTGATTATAGGTAAACGTAATTAGACTATGTATGAAATAATTTTATGTAAGTACGATCGACAATACCATCTACAATAAATGATGAGGATGGTATCATAATGTCGTAACAGATGAAGTGTACAAGCCACAAGATGTGGCTATAATATGGTGCGGCTCTTTATTTGACTACTTTTTACGTAATTAAAAGATTCAACTGGCTATTTTGACTTCCCTGTGGTTCTTCGGATCTCCGGCCGGCCTTTACTTCGGCGTAATTGAGTTCTGCCGGACACAGAGGAAAGTACCCACGGTAACCCTCTTTTAGCCCCACGAACAATCAGGAATCGTTCATTTACCTCGCTATACAGACTTTATTGCTTGATTCGCAATTTATAGACGCAAATTCAACGTAATCAGAACCCCATTGTCGATAGAAAAGTTAGGGACTTGTTTGCTAAAGTAGTTGGTGGAATTGCAGAGAGAGATTATAGGTAGGTACGATATTACGGAAAAGTTCAACTAATATTGGGTTTGATGTTACTTCTAAGATTTCTGACGATTGTGACATTATACGAGTACTTATCTAATCCTCAAACAAAGCACCTGTGTCTGTGTTGCTGCATTGAGGAATAAAGTGTCTTATCATTGGGAAAATTCCTGGGAAATGGAAAAGTTTACGTCCTTTCCATTCTCAGAAAGTCAGAAAATATTTATATTGGTATTATAAAATATTTTTGTCACGTTTAACTTGTTACGTTTGGCCCTTTTATCCATTAACCTGAAAACTGAAGTACTACCTATATTATGAACCATATCAAACACACATAATCCGCTGGAGTAGGCATTAAGGTAAACTACATTTACCCTGTTTGAGACGATGAAAGTACACAAAGATGTAATAACAACCACTTCGGCCATATTTCTTTCTGAACGAAAGGTCAAGTGGATTTAAGTTTGAGCCCCATTTTCAGGAGGCACTTAGACGAAAATCAGTTTTTACAAAATTGAACCTTTGGAACAAAACACTTTTTATTTATAGCTTAGGTACCTAACATTAGGTAGGTAGGTACACTTGCTTACGTATATGAAGAAATTAAGTACACTCAGTTGTAAGATAAATGATGACAGCGTTAGGTACAGGGTATTGTGATTCTGTATATTCAAAACAAATATAGACTGACCAAAATGCCGTTGCCCTGACCAAGTATATAAGTTAAGAGCAAAAGTTAATCGGACGGCCAGTTACGAGTATTTGAGAGGCAAATTCAATCTACATTTCACCCAGCGGGCAAGGCGGAATTCAATTGGTGGTCGGATTGAATCGTTTTTCCAGATCGGAAGCCATTTTAAACCACAATACTGGTAATCGGGTGGCGGTAAGTAGGACGCTTAGCGGGGATGACCCCTCCACAGAAAAGTGCGCTGAGTGGTGATAATGTTATCGAAGTTATTTTAGAAGCCTATTGTTTAATTTGGGTCTTGTAACTATACAATAGTTGTGACAAAATTCTAATTAATTTTATGCGATATTGTAGACCTACCTACTGGTGCTCATGACTCGTATTTCCTTGATACATTTTCATACAACACTCAGTTTTTTACAATGAATGAATAAAGCGATGTTGCTTAAGATGGCGCCTCGGTGGTCGATGAGCAGCTGCATGGCCTTAACCTGAAATGGGCCTGAAGAACTCGGAAAAGTTTAATAAAGAAGTAGGTACTTAGGTATAATGTGGTGGATTTTGATTTTGATTTTTTGATTTTGAATTTAGTACTATGTAGGTAGTATTAATCAATGACTGATACATTTGTAGGTAGGTAAGTATTTCCAAATCTAAATCTAAATCAAATCAAAAACATTTATTTCTTAGAAAGTGGTAACAAGATACTAATATAAAGTATACTAACATTATATATGCGAAAGTAACTCTGTCTGTCACGCTTTCACGCCTAAACCACTGAAGCGATTTTGATGAAATTTGGCATAGAGATAGTTGGAGTCCCGGGAAAGGACATAGAATAGTTTTTATCCCGGTTTTTGAAACAGGGACGCGCGCGATAAGGTTTTTTTGTGACAGACAAAATTCCACGCGGGCGAAGCCGCGGGCAGAAAGCTAGTAATTTATAAACGAATAATTTTAATTAAATGATCTTATTGTGACATAATCCAAAGTCAGCCTTATTAGCATTTCAAGTAATAAACATTTAAACAATAACATGATTTGGAAATAGGGAATTGATGGCCGATTTTGTTTAACCCGTGACGTGACCCGCGTAATGAGACCGTATAAATAAAATTTAATTGTTTAATTATAAATTAGTCTGTGTTAGGAGTCCGTTCACAGCACAACCGGCAAAGTAAGTAGAAATATTTAAGCGAAAAATGGGTTATTTTTTATAAATAGACGTAATCTTACATCGCAACTGAAAAAGCCGAAAATGTAATTTTAAGTGATTTTATTTTATTGTATTTTTCAGTCACTTTTCAGACAATCCACAATGTAAAATACCTACCTACTTACATTCTGACATTAACGAATATGTGACGTGACGAGAACGAATAATAGAACCTTTACTTAGATGAACCTTAACATAGTCCTGAATTACAGATTATGCCGCCTCAAGTCGACCCGGTCGTTAGCGGGGTGCTATTCGAAACCGACACGCAGACACCTGACTTGGGGCTCGACAAAGATGTCTCAGTTCTAAAGAAGGCGGCTCCGAAGAAGTATGAATATGTCTGGGGCAACATTGCATGGTTCCTTTTTCTGCACATCACCTCACTGTATGGCCTCTACTTAGTCTTCACGTCGGCGAAATGGCAGACGAATGTTTTCGGTTAGTTTTGGTTACTTTTCTCTCACGAGAATCCTTCATATTACCCTCTCAATCAAAAAGAAATCCATTTCCTTTCTTATCAGATTTGATTCAATGATGAAAGAAGTTAATTTTCTTCTTAGCATTTTTAACACCTTTTCTTTCTTTTAGCATTTGCCGTTCATCTCATGTGTGCAATCGGTATTGGCGCTGGATCTCACCGACTATGGACCCACAGATGTTTCAAAGCTCGCACTCCATTGCGCATCCTTCTTATGATCTGGCAGACTATGGGATTCCAGGCTAGTATCTAACCCTTCTTTTCATCATCACCACTAGAATTTCATACTGTTGTGCTGATCCCCTCCATAGATAGCTGAGTTGTTGTGGCTCTGAAAGGATTGCATCAAGTTTTCTGCACTCTTATTTTTGCAAGTTTACGTCACTAATCTACAAACGATGTCCATGTCAGAATAGTTCAGAACAAAAAGCTATAGTACTTAGTTGATCATCATTTTAAGATCAGTTATATTACAGGACTGCATCTTCGAGTGGGCACGAGACCACCGCACTCACCACAAGTACGCCGACACCGACGCTGATCCTCACAATGCAGAGAGAGGCTTGTTCTTCTCGCACATGGGCTGGCTGTGCTGCAAGAAGAGTCCCGAAGTCATTGAGGGTGGAAAGAGGATCGATGTGTCCGACCTCTATGCCGATCCTGTGGTGATGTTCCAGAAAAAGTAATAATACATCTTTATTTTTATTCCAAGTATCTTTTTCTTCAAATTTTTGTTCTTATTCTATTGCAAACGATGCTTCTCGTGTTCTTGCATGTTGTATCTTCTATTGTCCTATAGTGTGCCTGGTCACCGGTGTCCGACCCGTTAAGTTAAGGCGCAGTAATACGATCAACCGGTGACCCGACACTCTAATGCTTTAAACATTTTTACTGCTGCTTAAAACAGGAATTCACAGGCTACAACTTAATTAATTTACTGTAATATCTTTCCTAGACACTACATGAAGATGATGCCAATCCTCTGCTTCGTTTTGCCGACGATCATCCCCGTGTACTTCTGGGGCGAGACCTGGCTGAACTCCTTCTGTGTGCCCACCATCCTGCGATACACCTGCGGCATCAACGTAGTCTGGTCCATCAACAGCTTCGCGCATACCTTCGGATACCGGCCTTATGATAAGTACGTTTCCCATTGAAAAAGAGAAAACATTCATAGTATTTTGTTGGCCAGATTATAAACTATCTTTGGTAACTCTGATATCCTAGTAACAAACTATGTGTCACCTTTTGTTTTTTCTTGCTTTGCAGATATTTGTTTTACAAAACATCTACAAATTGTTTTTTCGTATTGTCAGGTCTTTGAATCCACGCGACAACATCGGCACCTGGATGATCTGCGTGGAAGGTTTCCACAACTACCACCACACGTTCCCATGGGACTACAGGGCGACTGAATACCCTCTGTACAACATGCTGACGCCTACCATCGTGTTCATTGACCTTATGGCTAAAGTAAGCACTTCGTTCTTCTTTTTCCTGTAGCCCAGTTCATGAATAGCTTTTCTAATTAGCGTTTCACCAAAAAGGTTTTTCAGACATTTGTATCCTATGAACAATCACACTGCTCAATATTTTTATTGCATAATAAAAACATAAAACTTTCTCATATTTCTATAGATTGGCCAAGCTTATGACCTGAAGAGCGTATCTCCTGACATCATCAAGCAACGCGCGCATCGCACAGGGGACGGAACCCACTATCTATGGGGCTGGGACGACCCAGAGTTTACTGAAAAGCTAAAATCCCAGTACGGGCAGGTCACTAACCCAGAAGATAAGAAAATAGAATGAGAATTATAACAAGAGTCTGAAATAACTCCTAAAATGTACACCTACTAACTTACTTTTAGATTTGTAAATATTAATTCGATTTAGAGGGAATTCATGCAATCGTTATTTCGAAATAAAGGTTTCATTTTATGTTTATTTCTTTTTTTTTTAATGATGAACACGACCACTCCATCAAATACAGCTTACCTACCTATTAAAAACTTTTCAGTCATGAAATTATCGAGAAAATTCTCAATAATTCTACTGAAAAAATTTAACAGCTGAACTATTACAATTTGCCTGCACTAAGAACAATATCAATTTCCAGAAGAATACAGCGTGATGGAAAAATTATAATGTCCAGATAGGTAGGTACTGAAAACTGGTACCTAGTCATAATAATGACAAAATATATTAAGCACACAGGTTTCAGATTCACGGCATAAGATTTTCCTCCATCACAAAATGTATTCTTTAAACCCACGCATGTAAAGAGGGTAAATCCAAATTAACATACGTCGCTTCGGTAAACGGGGGAATTAAATCCCTTAATATGATTATTGTGCCTGAGGTTTGCCTGGATGTAGACAACAGTGTAGGTAGGTATTACAAAATTTCCAATTGGACAGCTGAATACAAGCTGAAGATATTTTTATTTATTATTTTGCTTGTGGTAATTATTGTGAAAGAATATAGAGAGCTAAAAACTCGCGAATTACTTAGTGACTGAAGTATAAAAATGGGATGAATTTAACTCTGAATTACCTGAAAAGCATATAAACAGGTAGTAAAAAAAACGTTTATAAATGTGTAGTAGGTTACTACTTATAACTTATTCTCATCGGAATTTATAGAACTTATTCCAAATGCAAGTCTGTCCACTCCACTTTTAAAAAATAAATGAGCAAATTGAAACAAGCCCGGAAATCTTTTTCCAATGCCGAACACAGCTGGCGGCGTCGTAAACGATAAGCGAAAATCGATGGCTCCTCCATTAGCCCAGTATAATTAATGCAGTGCAATCATACGCTCAGTGCTATAGCGTTTGGTAAGCACCATGCATTACTTATGTATCAAATAGGCTGTTACACTCTCGTTGAAACATAACTCAACAGCTATTACCTGTGAAGAGGCATCCGAAGTGGCTGTTAAGGTGAGTGGGTCCATTTGAGCAATCACGAGCTGATAGAGCATTTAAGAGCTTGTATTAAGATGGAGTTACCTCCGTTTGAAGTTAAGCGACACGTATAAAATAACGTAAGTAACGTACCTGATTAAAGTAGCTAATAGATATTGGATAAAATTCATGTTGGACCAAACTTACTATAAGGCTTAGGCTTCTTGTCGGCTTAGCGTAGTTTCAAGCCTTACTTAGGTACCTAATCAGCGTTAATTTAGAACAATGGTGGTGAGTTCTTCTTCTTTGGTTTTGTGGCAATCAATCAACAAACCTCTTGAGATTTATTTTGTGTCAATTAATTTACCGTTGACACGATACCCGCTCAAATTCAAAGTGTTTCAATACTTCTATTTCACTTCAGTGGCGGCGTAGCATGGGTTGGTACCCGGGGCGATAACACCCCCCCCGCCCCGTCACAAGTCCTATGGCACCCCCTGGTACCTACCTTCCCAGGATTTTGGGGTTACCTACCGATTCGAAGATTGAAAGACAATCACACCCCCCACCCCCCGTATCATGACATAGACCGCAGATTTGCCATGCAGATGTGCCAGTGAGTACTAATCTGCGCGACNATTTGCCATGCAGATGTGCCAGTGAGTACTAATCTGCGCGACTTGTGTCACCCCCTGATGCTTGGCACCCGGGGCGGATCGCCCCCACCGCCCCCCCCTTACGCCGCTACTGTTTCACTTCACTACACTCTAAAACACATTATTTGTATAAAAAAATCGGAACTTTTCGTTTAACTACCCTCCACGGAAATTCATCGGTTTGGTGAGTTTCTAAACGAATGTTTATACGTCAATGTCAGTGTGTTGGTCTGTCAGAGATTGATGTTGCCCACAGCCCCCCTAGACAAAACGCACTTTTTGATCGAATCGAAAATCGAATCCGTCAAATTCCATACAAAAAAGGGGCTTTTCGACCACTTTTCGACTGGTTTGCGATTATAATGGCACTTTGTCTAGACCCACAGATATGGATAGATGCAGCATGTGTCAAAAATTGTATGAAGCCGAGCGTGCCACTTTTTAAACGTCATTAGTGTCATTTTAGCGAATTTTAGTGATTGCCGCAACGTAAAAGTAATCGTATCATCGTACTGCATTTGCAAAGTCATCGAATGATATCGTGCGACTCGATTCGAAAATTAATTAATTCCGATAAAACTGATAATTTGTTAAATACAAAACCAAAAACATCTTTATTTACCTTTTTAAAATAAATTAATTCTTACAAATCGTCAAATCTCGTTATTTTTTTTACCCTACCAGCGTTTCAAGCACAGATATGGATTAGAGTAGATACAGCAAGTTGATCGTCAAAGCGTGCCATTCCGATATGTCCAAATGGACATACATGGTCGAGTGATGTTCATGTAATCCGATTACAAATCAGTGTGTGTCTTATTGTTATGAGTAAGTACGGTTCCTTGGGATCGGTATGAGTGCACCACATACAGGGACCATGGTTTTAACTCTTAAGAGTACATCGCAGGATAAGTATTAAAAACAATGCTTTTTTATACTTCTTCTACTGCTACTTTATTCTAATTAATTATTTGTTACTTGTGCTGTTAATTACAATTCTCAATCCGTAAATAATTTCTTCTTTCTACCGTGTTCGTACTACTGTCCTCGTAAGATCATCGTAACCGATTGTTGTAATCGGATTACATGAACATCACTCGACCATGTATGTCCATTTGGACATATCGGAATGGCACGCTTTGACGATCAACTTGCTGTATCTATGTACTCTAATCCATATCTGTGATGTTGCCAAATGTGTGGTCAAATCTGTGGTTCTGTGGGTCAAATGAATGAAAGCAGGGTGAAGAAACTTCCATACAACGGTCATCGAAGTGAAACTTGCTTCCAAACAGCGACATCGATGAATAAATTCAAATACTTTTTAACTACCCTAAAACGCTCTAGATGTCGCTGCTCCTGTTTCCTTCATATTTTCATTTTTTTCTTAATTAAAATATATTTGAGAATATTGTTAATTACAATGTGAAAACTTTTTTTAAATGAAATTAATTTGTTTTAGTTTAAAACTGAACATTGACATTTTTGTTATAATTTACATAATAGAGTAGTAG